ATATATATATATATACATATATATATATATATATATATATATATATATATATTTTTTTTTTTTTTTTTTTTTTTTTTTTTTTTCAACAGCCATTCATTCCACTGCAGGACATAGGCCTTTCTCAATTCAGTATTGAGAGGTGATATGGCGGTGTCACCCTTGCCTGATTGAATGCCCTTCCTAATCAACCGCGGTTCGGCGCGTCAACACTTGTGCCACGGCGGTGACTTCCCCTACGACACCTGCGTTTGACTTCTCAAGGCGATATGTCGTTTTCTCGGGCTCGAGTCAGCAGTCAGAGCGCAGGCATTTTTACGAATGCCGCGACGGGGAATTGAACCCGGGACCACAAGGGTCGGAGTCCAGTGCTCTAACCACTGAGCTATCGTGGCATATATATATATATATATATATATATATATATATATATATATATATATATATACACATATATATGTGTGTGTGTATGTGTGTGTGTGTGTGTGTGTTTGTGTGTGTGCGTGCGTGTGTGTGTGTGTGTGTGTGTGTGTGTGTGTGTGTGTGTGTGTGTGTGTGTGTGTGTGTGTGTATGTGCAGTTATGATTACTAATTTGTAAATTCACGTACCTTTTCTCAGTTCTCTATAATACATCTAAATACAGATTTGCATATATACATAGAGATCTTCTTAGGTACAGATCCCTCCCCTTCCCCCTCCCCCCCTCCTCTCTCTCTCTGTCTCTCTCTCTCTCTCCCTCTCTCTCTCTCTCTTTCTCTTCTTTCTAATTGATACATAAACTATTGTACACAGGATTTAGCATCTTATTTCGTCCCAATTAAGTAATCAAGTTAATGCAGCATGGCCATATCTGCGATTATGTTTATTTCTTGATAAACGGCGCCGCGATATTCATTATTTCTACGCCAGCTGATTAGGTGGGGAAAAAGCGACACGAAATCCGTCATCAAGAATTAAGTATTAATTAGGAATTTTATATCATATTCATTAAGGATAAAAAAAGTCAATTATTCAAACGGTTATTATAAAGAAGGAAGCAAGTTGGTTGGTTTCAATTAAAGGGGTGGGGGGTGTGGGGGTGGGGGGGAGGGGGAAATATCTGATTGTCAAATTTTGCAAATCACTTTAACAATCATGTATTACTGCGTCTTGATCTTAAT